CTAATGTCATGATCAGAGAACTGACCCAGCGATAATTAGGCAATAAGTTACAGCTAATGTAGATGTAATATATACAAACAAGCCATTAATTTTGATTTTCTAAATTTTAATTCAATTGATTGAAATAACAAAACAAATAAAGTACACTAACAACTTAAATAGGAACTTTTTATACACTTTGACTTTACACTAACAAACAATGTCAATGAACATGCATAGTTCTTATATTCACTTCACTAATTAATGTATTTTAATGAAAAGCATTAAAAAAATAAATATCCCTTTCCAATGAATTTTTAATCTGACAATATAAAACACTACTGGTGATGCTTACATTATAATGTGTGGGATGAAAATGTGATTGTACAATAAGCATTGAGGAAAAGTCCTGATAGATATTCGTGCAGATTACAGAATGTGTCCATATTTCTGATCAAACCTGCATGTGCATCACTATTAATTCAGATTGACAAGTTGACTTAAAATGAAGAAAAAAAAGCCAATTCAGTGAGTCAGGGATAAAAGTGATATGATTTAAAAGAGCAGTAGTTTTAAACTTTAACCAGCAAAATTGTCTTATCATTTTTGAGGTCATGTTAAAAACTTGTTTGGATTCATTCACTTAAAAAATCTGTTACAAATCTATATAGTGAATCATGCCCTGTGTGGTTGAGTGAAATGGTCGGTTATGTCCAGCTAAAGGCCTAAAGATGTTCAGATTATTATGATCTCTTAAGACAAAATATATCTTTTTTTCATCACAATACTCAAAATCTTAATGAGTGAATGATAATGTATGACAATGAATAATGCAGCTTGAGTATAAAATGTTTATTTATAATTGAACTTGACTTTAAGTAGATATTTCATTTTAATCTGTTTGGTATCGTAGACGATGTATTCATTATAATTGAGAGTGTAGCCAGCAGAATTCCTTACTTTAGTATCTACACCTTTACCTACTGGTACTACCACACCATCAGACCTATAATAGAATGAAATAATGAGTTTTACATCCTGGATTTTGCACCTGACTGGATTCAGGGAGGCTGACAATGCCAAGAGCGAAATTTTGTCAACAGTATATATATACTTACAGAGTTTTATTGCATGTTGGATCTGGTGCTACTTGTCCAGCACCTAGTACACTGTCTTTGCCTGGGGGTAGTTTATCAGCTTTATAATCAGCACTTAATAAAGTATTAACATTACCCAATGATACCTACAATATACAAATATTATATATTAATCCATATTACTTGAAACAAATATATATACAAAACCATCTTGGGATACAAATATTGACTGTGGGACTCTTTGAGGATATACAAAGCCATTTCAGAATTTAAAATACAAATATTCACCGTTACAACTCTCGTGATTTATGAGCTATTAACAATTTGATTGGCTGGGCTATTTTAAAACTAAACTGACCTCACACAGTAACAAAATACCAATATTTTTAGACCTGGATGTAAAACAATAGTTAGCACTTTTACTGGACATATCAGCAAAATATACACCTTTACCAAACTGAAAGAGAAAACAAAGTAGCATGTAAACATACCAATAGCTAGGGGAAATTTCTCAAAAACTTACCTTTTTAGTAGAGTTCTTCCTTTTCAGAAAAGTACTGATAATAAAGAATTGTATGATTCAAAGAGCTATTCTCACTAGCTTTGCATAATCAAAATCTGCAAATGAAAGGCAATCTACATTGATTTAATAAAGAGCCAGGAGATAATGACTATATATAACAGAGATACTGACCATATAACCAGTAACAGGAGCTTCTGGTGGTGCTATACGTAACCCTTGACTTAAAATACCAACCCAATTAGTCAATCTAGATCCATGCCATAATAACATTCTGAAAATAGATGAAGTCTAAGTTAAAGTATTTTTAAAACACTAGAAACATAGAGGTAAAGGTGTTAATTGTATAAGAGTGGATAAATCTACCATATTTATCTGCAACGTCTTCCATTTTATTATTGTATACTAATT